TGCCCATCCCTAGTGCAGGCTGTGCAGGCTGCGCAGGCTGCGCAGTAAATTCAAAAAATCTTCGATTTGCCCAATCCTATGGGGTATACCTTATTTTAGTGATAAAAGAATTATAAAAAAATATCTTTTAGCATTAAATGCTGAAGAACAAGCTCAGTTGATCCCCTTTAAGGTTATTCTTCCAAATTGTCCAAAGCCATTATTTAAATACGAAAATTATATTGAATTTGTATATTATGATTTGGCCTATGGTGTCAAAAATTGGCTTGAAGATAAAGAATCTTACTTCGAAGGATATAATGATGAACTTGCAAATGCTATTAAATCTTCTTTAATTCACATGTTTTTGCGAACAAGTAAAAATATTAAATTTTTAACACTTGACAATACCATTAACAAAACAAATAAAACCATATTAACAAGTGCACTCAACAAGAACACCACATTGACTTATTTGAATCTTACTAGTTGTAATCTTGAATCAGAGGGTGGAAAAGCAATATCAGATTTACTTTGCAAAAACTCCACGTTGACTTTTTTATATCTTGGTAATAATAATCTTGGATCAGGATGAGGAAAAGCAATAGCAAATGCACTTTGCAAGAACTCCACGCTGACTTCTTTAAGTCTTGGTGAAAATAATCTTGGATCAGAAGGAGGAAAAGCATTAGCAGATGCACTTTGCAAGAACTCTACGCTGACTTTTTTGAATCTTTCTTGGAATAATCTCGGATCAGAAGGAGGAGAAGCATTAGCAGATGTACTTCGCAAAAACTCTACGCTGACTTCTTTAAATCTTTATAAAAGTCAAATTGGATCAGAAGGAGGAAAAGCATTAGTAAATGCACTTTACAAGAACTTCACACTGACTTCTTTAAGTCTTGGTGAAAATAATCTTGGACCAGAAGAAGGAAAAGCATTAGCAGATGCACTTTGCAAGAACTCCACGCTGACTTCTTTAAGTCTTAGTAGAAATAATCTTGGATCAGAAGGAGGAAAAGCATTATCAGATGTGCTTCGCAAGAACTTCACGCTGACTCTCTTGGATCTTTCTTATAATAATCTCGGATCAGAAGGAGGAAAAGCATTAGCAGATGCACTTCGCAAGAACACCACTCTAACTAATTTATATCTTGTTGGTAATGATTTTGGATTAAAAGGTGCAAAAGCATTAGCAAATGCGCTTTGCAAGAACACCACGTTGACTCATTTGAACCTTGATAATAATAATCTTGGATCAGAAGGAGGAAAAGCACTAGAAAATGCACTTTGCATAAACAATACACTGAAATTATTGAATATTGGGCATAATACAATTAGTTTTGCAGTAAAATCTAATAATCCAAATATTAAAATAATTCAATAAAATGTATATATATAGTATAAATTAAATGTACAGCAAACTAGGGATGTTAAATTTGGGTTAACCGAACAGAATGGACAGAAACGTCGAAAAAGTTCTTTTAGGCCTAATCGAAGAAATAGTCAATAAGAACAATTTGGTCAATAAGGATAATTAGGACCATAAGGACAATTCAGTATAAATAGTCATTTCAAATAATGTAGACACTTAATAAAATATTATTATAAATAAAGGTCATTTAGCCTTTGGTAATAGAAGGTCTCGCCTTGCCTAATAAACTAATAAAGGATACTTTATTAAACAAATGCACAATCGATAATACATTCGTTTCTTAGATTCTCTACGAGTGACTGTAGGAATCATTTGTAAATATAAACCTAACCCAGAATTATTATCAAATTCCACTCCCCAATATTTGTCCACCCTATAAGAAAAGTGGTCCGAGAAAACAGTGTATAGGCATGTTTGACTGACACGGGCTAATCAGGTCCGGTTTTACACGTGCGTGGTTCGAGATGGTACGGGATGGTGGACTGTATTGGTCTGTGTGCTCGCGCCGATTTAAACGTGCAACTACGTGAAATTGACATGCCTTTTGAGCAGTTTACTAAGCCAATTGACACGGGGTATGGCACGTGAATGTAACGGGTGATTCAGATCTTCTTTCCAAGGATATTATATCAAAGGACTTGATAGTTAGAGTATATATATCTAAAATAAACGCAACTGCATATATGTAAAATTTTGCAAGGAACTTTTTTCATTAAGACACCCAGAGCAGCTTTATAGGCGAAATTTTGTGATATTTCTTTTTCTTAAAAAAAAAAAACCTTCACAAACAATCCGTTTTTCTTAGAAGAATGAAATATCACAGGTTTTTGCCTATAAAGCTGCTCCGGATGTCTTAATGAAAAAGATTCCTTGCAAAATTTTACATATATGCACTTGGGTTAATTTTAGGCATATATACTCTAACTACTATCAAGTCCTTTGTTATAATACCCATTGGAAAGAAGATTGCAAATTTTCATTGAATCATCCGTTACATTCACGTGTCATACCCCGTGTCAATTGGAATAGTAAACTGCTGCAAAAGGCATGTCAATTTCACGTAGTTGCACGTTTAAATTTACACGAGCACACAGACCAATACAGTCCATTGTTCGGTGCAAACTCCCGTGCCAACTCGGACCACGCACATGCAACGCCGGTCCCCTTTAGCCTGTGAAATTTTGCACATGCCTATACACTGTTTTCCCGGGTCACTTTTCTTATAGGGCCAGCAGTGTGTTGAGGTTGTAGATTAATAATCTCAACGTAGTGTAGACTAGGGATGGGCAAATCGAAGATTTTTTTGAATTTACTGCGCAGCCTGCGCAGCCTGCACAGCCTGCACTAGGGATGGGCAAATCGAAAATTTTTGAATTTATTGCGCAGACTGCGCAGCCTGCACAGCCTGCACACTCTAGAAATCTAGGGTTCATGATTACGTATATATATAAAACATCTACTTCGTATGTATAAAGTTAAGCTCCCATTATTTTTTGTTAGTGCTTCAAGGTCAGTTTAAACATCAGTTTTCGAGTTTTGCATTTTTTTCATTAGCTCTTTCACATAAATTTTGACTATTTTTTAAAACTTTTAGCGAAGTTTTCTCAACAACCACCTGATAAATTTCAATAAAATTTTTTTTTAATTCAAATTCTACTAGTTTGTAGAATTCTGATAAAAAAAAGTTTCATGGAAATTTATCAAGTTATTATCAAGGAAACCTTAG